CTTTGCTAGATTTTGGCATTTAGCAACTGGCATACGGTTTAATGTGAAGTCAACAACAACAACAACAACAACAACAACAACAACAAGCGACGCCAACTTCGACAGGCCGCTCGCAACGTAGCGTCGTTTAGCTCCACCAGGTCGACAAACACGTCAAGCCGCGCTAAGCGACCTGTCGGCAGGCTCACCACAATGATCGCTGTCGTGTTGGAGATTTCCGCGCCAACCATCTGATCTTCGAATGAAAAATACGCTAGCCAGTTGTTCAATGTGCAGCGAGCCGATGGGCCGAAGAGAGTGTCCCCTTTTTTTATATCCTCCATGCCGTTCGCCGTCTCCAGGTGGCAGTAGAGAGACGCCTCAGAAACTGCCACGTTTGGCTTGTAAGCCTTCGGGTGAACCCAGTCACACCCCATCTCCACAGCGTACGTCTGTCCTCAATCGAACCGCAGCAAACGAACAAATATCAGCGCGCCAAGGACGGCAGGTATTGTGTGGTTCGGGTGAGTCAGCCTGTCCGGTGTGTGCAGACGCTCATCACTCAACGTGGGGCGGCGTTCTCACTGCACGCGCGCAGACAACAAGCCCCTAAAAGCTGTAGACTGATTTGTACGTCTTCGGATAGAGCATGCTGTTGACTCATGAACGACGCAAAAGCGACGATAAAACATCAGGCGCAGGATACAAAAGGGAATCGTACCCACTTCATACGTGTAGCCTTGACGTGTACGGTATTTTTTCGGCTCAACGTTCCCATCTCTGCGAGTCGGTCGATTTGGGAAAGACAGACGTTAAAATCAGTTTTTTTTGTGCTTTTTTTCAAGCTTTGCAACAGATATTCTCCCTGCACCAACTGTCCTCTGGCACGCTTGCTGGCTATTTGACCCTACCAGCCATACACAAATAAAATCGCTGCATGGCCTGTTGCGTTTCTCGGACTAAATAGAGGTACGGGGAGCGAGTGCATAACGTAATGCTGCGAGCAATCCTGTCACATTGCTCTCACCCATGTTGTCAAGTGTCGAAGGGCTAGGCTCCCGGCACCGTCAGGATAGTCGATTGACCGAACCAGGCAACGTGAGCCTGGTCCATGGTGTTCGGCTGAGATTCTGTCGAAGATCTCAGCGTCATCATACTCCGGAGGAATTCCCGTTGGCACCGTTGCGGCCCATGAATTCCAAACACTGACACAATCGGCCATCGACCATCCAGACAGCGAAGGCAACTGTTCTTCGAACTCCTGACACGATCGCTCTGCAAAGTACGGGTCTTGCTGCAAGTTTTCGCCGGCAGCGTACCCACGGCCTAACGCGGCAAGAACCCAGACGGCTTGCATGGCCCTCATCTGTTGCATTATTGTGGAAATTCGCGAGGGTATGGTGTTTGGAGCGCACATAACAACCCACCGCGCCCACCGCGCCAGGCGACAGCGCCCTGAAACAGTTTCAGGCAGAAATTGCCAGTCTGCCGAAATCTAGCAACTTGTGTAGCTCCTGGCTGCAGCAGCCGATGGCGACGAGAAGAATACGCACGCGAAGCTGATGAAAAGGCCTTCAATTTGCGCCGCATGTTGGAAGAGCCCGTCCCCTACTTGTCGAGAAATGAGAGAGGCGTCTGGACCCGAATTTTCAATTTTTGGTTCTCGCTCTCAATCGGAAAACTTAGCTCTCAATCAGGCGAACACGCTGTTACATGGAGTCAGATTGTACTACAGGTTGTTCTTCAGGTCTACCTTTATTTGGTAGGGATCGCTTGCAGTCGAAATGCCCGATGGGCTGGGGGACAGAGAAGGGTGGGGAAGTAAGTGCCTGTATGCTACAGTCATGCGCCCGGTACTGCTGTCAACTGTCGGCACGCTGGTTTGTTGTCCGCATCATTCCAGATCGAAAGATTGTAGATATTGCTGTGGTAGCACAGGGACAGCTTCACGTCCATGCTGTTGCCTTGTCTCCAAAACCGTGAGTAAAATTACTGCTGCTAAAGCTGAGCTCGTAGAACCGCTGTCGAAAGCGTTCGCAAATTCCACGTTCACTAAGGAACAGCAAACTCGTAATGTGGACCTGTGCGCAAAATAACGTCCCGTTTTTTCGCTGAATCGTAAGGAGCTTGGTAAATGCACAACTGCTCAAGCCACGTTTCCTATGCCGCCTAACACTAAACCGGTTAACCGTCGTCCCTACCCCGCAAACCCGCACACTGAAGCCGTTATCCAAACGTGCGTAAAGGACATGCTTGATGATGACATTATCGAAGAGCTAGCTGCCTAGTCAGTGGGGTTCCCCCGTTACTCTCGTCGCGCGTAAAGATGGTAAACCTCGTCTTTGCGTCGATTTCCGAAGCACCGTCAACAAGCACATCATTCGCAAGACCTGGCCTCTAGCGAACATGGAGTCCAACCTTGACTCTGTCGGCAGCGCCAAGTTCATCAGCGTTGCAGACGCCCAGTCAGCGTACTGGCAGATGCCTGTTCATCCTGACCACGTCGAAAAGACAGCCTTTGTCACCAACTCTGGCAAGTACTGTTACAAGCGGATGCCGTTTGGTGTTTGTAATGCCCCATGGATTTTTACTGAGATGGCCCATAAAACGATAGGCCATATTCCCGAATTGTTGATTTACATGGATGATTTCTGTGTGCTTTCAGCAACTTTCGAGAATCATATGAAGTCTTTGGAGAGCATGTTCGTAGCTCTCCAAGCAGCAGGTCTGACATTGAAACCTTCGAAGATTTCGTTTGGCCCCAAGTCCATCGAGTATTTGGGACATATTATTTCGGCTGAAGGTATTTCTGTCGGGAAGGATCGTATCAAAGCCGTCCAAAACCTTCCTACTCCTCGTTGCCTAAAAGATCTTCGCTCAGTACTCGGGGTGGTTAATTTTGTGCGCCGGTTCATACCGGATAATGCAGAAATAACCAATCCGTTGGTGGAGTTAAGTCACAAAAAGTACGCCACAAAATCACGTTTCGTAAAAGCTTGGAACAAATCGCACGACGCATCGTTCGCTCATCTAAAGCGGTTATTAACTTCAGCGCCCGTTCTACACTTCCCAGACTTCGATCGGGAATTCGTAGTTCATGTGGATGCATCCGAACATGGGTGTGGCGCGTTTCTTGCCCAGCCGTCCAAGGCTGATCCAGAATCTCTTGACATGATTGCGTATTATAGTCATAGATTCAAACATGGACAGCGTCATTACTCTGCGTCTATGAAAGAGTGTTGCGGTGTGGTTCTTGCAATTTCGCATTGGCGA